GACATGAGACTGGAAATCCAGCTCCTAACTCAATACTCTTTTTTTGCACAGATTCAGTAGCACTTTCCTCACATTGGCTGACTGAGTTACCACATGACTCTTCCTGTTCATGAATATTCCAACAGATTTCATGGCATTACATATAGGCAAGTAGAGGTTATGCCTATTTTGCTGGATTTTCCTAGATTTGAGGGGAGAGGATTTGCTCATTTACCTCATAATTTTTGTCAGTGTGAATTGTAGGCCTATCACAAAAAATGTGCACTTGTTATAAGTAGAAATAGCACTTAGACTTCTATACTGCTTCATAGTGTTTTACAGCCCTCTCTGAGCAGTTTCCAGAGTCAGCATATTGCCCCCAACAATCTGGGTCCTCATTTTACTAATCTTGGAAGGATGGAAGGCTAAATCAACCTTGAGCCAGTCAGAATTGAATTCCTGGAATGAAACACTGCATTCTAACCATTGCGCCACCATAGCTCAAGTCTTATATTATGTGATGGAAGCATAATTACTTCATTCAAGACAGTAATTTCTAGTTAATAGTTGAAGAGATTATATCTCCAGATTATAATTTCTTAATTTATTCTATGTTTTATAAATATCTCAATTTCTGTACAGTTGTTGTTTTCTTTAAAAAGCTACAGGAGCCCTCAGTAATAAATATGAAAAGAAAAGATAGAAGTATCAGGCACTCCTTTTCACAAATGAACTGATTAATTTCCTGGATCTTATTTTCATACCAAAGCCTGAGAAAGAAAAAGGTTTGCTCTGAATCGTCCTCTGACAATGATCCAGTGAAAACTGAAAATAACATCAAAGACACCCATTCCTTCACTCTCCTTTGTTAGTAGTGCATGACTGGGTTCATCTTCTGATCCTTGCTTGCTCTGCAGGAGTCCAGAAATACAAGTTGCAATGGTGATATTTACAAGTGCATCTGCTCTTTGACAAGCAGTTCTAACAAATATCATAACACATTTTCCTCCTGCAAAAAGTCAAGATTCTGTGAACTCTGTGCCTCTGCCTGCTCTCCCACCACCAGAGATTCGCATCCGTATTTTTATGTGATGCCATGTTCCTGGATTTTTATGAATAAATGCAAGAGGGCATGATATTGTGTTTCTGCAGAAGACCTTGTACAGAATCCCAAATTATTTTCCATCTGTGCACTGTTATAAGAAGAACTTTCGTAACACTTAAGTACTTTTTTTTAAAAAAAACATTTTTGTCTTCTGGAGGCAAAACTGTGAGTAGTACAATTCTTTTTTGTAACTAATAACTCAGAGAATTCTATAAGAAAAAAGAGAAGCCTTTAACTCGAAGTTTATGAAGTATAATTGGTGCTGAATTAAAAAAAATAAGAATGCATATAAATGACAACTACCTCCTTATAAGTTAAAAGGTTTCTATTTATAAATTACATTAGATGTTAGGAGAATTAATTATAGCTCTAGGAGATCTGATTTTAATTTTATATTTCAGATGTTGCAATACAGTTTTCATTTTTTTAATTATAATTTGCATTATATTTCTACTAAATTATCCTAAATTAATCTGAAATATGAGTAATCTTTATTCTTTAATCAACATATCTATGTTCAATTGGTGGGATTATACTGGATCAAACCCAGTATAATCTCCTGTTCAAGGAGTAGGTTTTTGTTTCAAAGATCTTTTAGAAAATAATCAGAAAATTGTAGACTTTTCCCAACCAATTTCTAACTTGTCTGAAATAACAGGCACACCCTAAATTTTTCTCTATAGCTTTTCCCATCCTTCCTTTCAACAATTTATTAGTTTATTAAACCAATTTATACAGCCACCCATTTCACAAACAAGCAAGTTTAGGCAGCATAAAAGAGAGCTAACATTTAATAAATACTTTAAAAAGTATAAAAACCAAAATAAAACACAGAATAATAGACAAAGGGATTATAAGCAGCATAGCCACTACACTAGTTCACCTGTCATCTGAATTCTCAGGTCTGCTGGCATAACCAGATCATGAGGGACCTCCAGAGGCTTAGTAGTGATGAAGCCAACCTTACCTCAGAGGAGAGGAGATTCCATGGCACAAGCACCAGAATAACAGAAAAACAGAGTTGGAAGGGACCTTGGAGATCCTCTAGTCCAATCTCCTGCTCAAGCGCCCAAGGAGAAAAGGACCATCACCCAGCGCCCACCAAAACAGTCTGTAATACATGGTCTCTCTGCTAGAACAGGTAGCCGAAACAAATAAAATCCAGGAGAGGCTCTCCCTCAAATAACCCAAACCCCTGCAGTCAGCATCAGCATACTTAAGCAGAGCTGTACAATTTCTACTTTTATTATGTTTTTATATTATATGTATTAATTTATTTATTTGAATTATATGGCTACCCATCTCAGATATATGAGTTAATGTGGCTACCAATGAATTTGATATGTAAACCATAAACAAACTTTTTGGTGGCTAGAAATCACACTTTCGGTTTTCTGTTATTTGCAATGGTCAGATATTGAAGGGTGCAAAGTAATGTAATGATTTCATTAAAGCAGCTGCTAGATATTTGCTAAGGCATTTCTTTATTTACTGAAATATATTGGAGGATATATTGGAAACATTCATTCATAGCTGATTTTTCGGCAGCCTTTTCCAAAAGCACTTTTATCTCAATCCAGATGACTTTCAATATTAAAACGCAGTAAATGAAAGTGATATTGAAAGATAGATTGCAGGTGAAATCAAATACTAGCAGAAGAGGATTCTTATTTCAAGGTTTGGTGATTTATTGAAAATGTGAATACCAACTTTTCTGTGCTGTGTTGACTAATCATGGATCATATTATGGATAATAATATAAACCATTAAAAAATAGAAGCATTAAAAACTCTTCAAATGGTTGAAATTCTCTTTCCTAACAATAATGAGCTATTATCATCAATAGTAATAATAACTGCTAATGGCAAATTGTTCTATAACCTAAAACCCACCACATAACATGCTAAAAGAAAAAAAGAGATTCAGTTTGGTCTAGTGCTGTGGTGGCGAACCTATGGCATGCGTGCCACAGGTGGCACGCAGACCCCTCTCTGTGGGCATGTGTGCCATTGCCCAAGTCCTAGGCCTTCAGCTGGGTTTTTAAAAACCTTTTTGCTTTAGGCCTCCACCACTGTATGCAAAGAAAAGAGGTTCAATCAATTTCAACTTCTTGCAGGAAAAAAAAGATCTTGCAAAGTTGGAATTGATTGATTGAACTTTTTAGTGCCACCCAATTTGCTGTTACCACTGCAGCCATGTCCACCCAATGGGCCACGCCCACCCAATAGGCCACACTCACCCAATGGGCCATGCCCACCCGGCACCCGAAGATACATAAGTGGGTTTGGGGTTGCAGTTTGGGCTCTTGGTCTCTCAAAAGTTCGCCATCTAGTGATTAAGAAACTAGACTAGAAACCAGGAGGCTGTGAGTTCTAGTCCTGCCTTAGGCATGAAAGCCTGCTGGGTGGCTTTGGGTCAGTCACTCTCTTTCAGTTCAATTTACACCACTGGATTGTTGCTGTGGGGAAAATAGGAGGTGAAAAGAGTAGTGGGTGTATTCACTGCCTTGAGTTATTTATAAAAATAAGAAAGGGAGGATAAAAAAAATCTAAAAAAAAAATCTGCTAATTTTATCCATAGTGAGATCTTCAGAAATGCTTTAATAACCACAGAAGTCAGTGTGGGAATAAGCACACTATAACTATTCATAGCCCAATCTAGTTATATACTCAGCCTCAACTACTTATAAAACTGAGAGATATCTTATATGAAACGTGGCATGTAGTCATCAACTTATGACTACAGCTGGGACAGGAATCTTGGTTCTTAAATAAATAGTCATTAAGCAAGATGATACACAACTGTCCATGTGACTGCTTCACTTAACAATTGCTGTCCCAGCACTCTTGGTTGTGATCATTAAGTGATCTCACAAGTTGTTAAGCAAAGAGTAAGGAATGCAGGTTGCTTTAGGAGGGTAAGGGAAGATCCTAAGAGACTCTGCTCAGGAGCTGAAAATTTTCCCTGCTGAACTCCAAGCAAGATTTTCAGCCTCCGAATTGAGAGACATTTGCATGTAGCATGTGCCAGGCTGCCCAGGGCCTCTCCCACCCCCACCGCCTCCTCCACCCCATCAACATCCTCCTGCATTTTTTTTCTTTATTGTGCTGCCCATCCGTATAGGAGCTGAAGATCTTCCCTGCTGAAATCCAAGCAGATTTTCAGCCCCTGAGTGAACAGATACTTGTGTCAGCCTGTGCTTGGCCTCCTCAGGCCTCACCCACCTGCCTGTGACACCCCACACTTCTTACCTCCTGCATTGATTATCTGCTCTCTGTGTTTTGGCTCCTCTTCCCCAAAGCTGGTTGAAAGAACTGTTCTCAATATAGCCAATCCCATGAATGAAGACATAAACAAAAGTCTCTTTATCCCTCTTTTATGTAACAAGATTATCCATAGAGTCTGTTGCAGATCTCTTTTTCTTTTCTTTATCTGTGAAGGATGCCTGTTGCTTTTCATACTGGGAAAGTTTTTCCTTCTCAAGTGGAATACATATCAATGTTTATTATTACTATTGCTATTCTAATTATGAGGAGCAAATCCTTGTAAGAATCACACTAAACACAACTTCACTTTGATGTTTAAAAGAATGGGAAGCAGAGATGCATTTTTCTCAGGCTTTGAATGTTGTGCTGATAATTTTCCCCCTTAAAAGTAATGAGTTTCTTCCTGTGACCACTAGCTGAATGACTAAAATGATGTAAATGTTAATTTCAAATTTAAGTCATATGTCATTTAGTTCCATGCTCTAAAAAGACAATTTTGTGGAAATTCAAAGAGCTCATAGGTGTAAGTTCTGCTGTCAAAACAAACTGAAGCCAACCATGCTCAAGCAAATATTTGGTACCAAAGTTCTACTGATTGTTCAAAAAAGAAATGTTTATACTTGAGTTTTACATTGAGAGTAAAGGCTATTGCCAGAATATGTCAGAGGACAGTTCTCTAGAATAGGCAATCTGTTGATAGAACTGGCCCCTCCACTTGCTCAAGGCCTGAATTGCAATAAAGGATGAACCTTTCTACCAACAAGTCAACAATTACAGTAAGTGATAAGTGCCTGTAAAGAAAGGTTCTCTTTTCTGAAACTTCTACAATTTTTCTAAATTATCTCCTGTCATGTCCCATTAGCTCTGAGTCACTAAGTTGCTGTTTCTGTAGCAATGAATGTTTGATCATAGCAGTCAGTATGTGTCTTTCCCATATTCTTCATAACTACTTGCTGCTCCTGCAAATTACAAATTTCTACAATACCTGATGACCAAATTAAGTTATATACTAATAAGATATAGGTCCAAGAACTGTTGTATTATAAATACTGGTAAGGAAAAGTAGGATATGAGAAGAGAGACAGAGATAGACTGCAAATTAAAAAGCAGGAAACAGATAGTAGAAATAAATGGACAATTCACAATAGTGAAATGTATATAGCACATCCAGGTACTTCCAGCAGTTGATGTTATATTTTAATTGGTATATAACTGGTCTGGAGTTAAGTCCAGCAGTGAGATGGTTATATTTGGTAATGAGTCCAGGCTGTTCTGGATGATAAAGTCAAAAAGTGACAGCAGGGACTTCCAGTTTGCCATGGCGGCACTGCAGATGCTGGATGACGAGCTCTGTCTTTTGCGTCTGGTTTTGTCCTAGAAAGGGTCAAAAGTCACCCTGTAGGGGTGACGAGCAAGGAGGGGACCCCTGCTTGATTCTGGAAGGGTGGTAGCCCTTCTGTCAGATCTGGGGAAGCCCTCCAAACTGGCAGGGGAAAGCAATATGGCTTGTCACTAAGCTGCTGACAACCGAAGTCAAAATCACCACCAAGCACCTTTAAAGCAACGCAGATGAAACTGGGTGAGATCTGATCTTCTCTTTAAGACTTTAAGTATCTTTTCCTGTAAAAGCTGCCCAAAGAATCTTTCCCCCTGTGAGGAGAGAGGGAAGGGAATTTCTACCCCACCCTCTAAGAACAGCGGTGACTAACTACCCAGGGGAAACAGAACAACTATAAGAACAATTTTAATCTAGTTGGATGTATATGCGTTTGAAACTTGGGGACCAAAAGTGTTCCTATTCTTACTGGAGACATTTGTTTTTATCTAAAAAAAAGAAATAAGACTTGAAAAACTATCATAAAAACTTTGGGCTTAAAAAACTTTAAATGGCATCAGTAACATCTTATGGCGAAGTATGGTATTACAACTTGTTATTGCTTAAAAGAGACTTAGCTCGAAGCCCAGATTCCAGAAAAAAAACTTCTCTGACCTTGACAGCTACCACCTGTGGAACAATTTAGGTGCAAAGAAGGAACTTTGGGTGGCATATCTGGTCTGTTTGAACTATGAATGTAAACTTTTATTGACTTTCAGAGTTATACGTGGGGAATTGCTTTTCTATTTCTTTACATGAGAAATAGGAATGTGTTATCACACGAGATGATGGAATACCTTGGACTATAAACTCTTACTTGACAAGTAAGACCACCTATAACATGTGAAATAGATGTCCCATACCTAGCTATAAAAAAAAAAACTATTCTTAATGTTTGATTCTAAAATCTTCAACTTAGCATACTATCAAGAGAATATGGATGAAGATCAGGAAAAAATCCTTTCCATCTTGAAATCAATACACGAAACCATCCTTTCAGCTTGTGACAAAATAAGATGAAACATAAAGGAACAACATGCCAACTTAAATATACAAACCCAGATCTTTACTATAACTAAAGAACTAACAATGCAGAAAATAACAGGAGAAATGGAACAACTAAATATTAAGACAGAGGACTCAATTGACCAACAGATCTAGCCAATGGAAAAATCAGAACAGGGAGTGATAACACTGGAAATGGAAAAGACTTTTTACAAAAATCAGAAGAAATTTGAGGAAAAGGAGGAAGAACAGATTGAATGGAAGATAAACCTATCAGGACAATTATGGGAAATTGGAGTAATAGGAAGGCAATCTAATAAATACAAATGAGCTCGTTCTTCCCAAAAAACTGCAACCAACTGGTCTTTCTTATTCCAAATAATATATATAATAATAGAGGGAGAACTACTGTATTTGATGATTCAAAAGCATTGAAATGAAAGGTTAGTTGGCAAAGGAAGAAAGTCAGAGTAAGGCTGAAGAAAATAACAATTTTGATTTATTAGAGGGGATATTATATTACTAAGTAGAGGGTTGAATATGATGGAAAATAGATAATTTTTAGAAAAGAAATTAACATTATTTGAATAGGTAAGATGTGTAACCAGACTAATAGACTTTGGTATGAAAAGGGAAAAAGGAAGAAGTTGAGATAAGGGACATTTTGGTTACCTAATATAAAATATTTGAAAATTAGTTGAAAATAAGAATTCTGTTTGCCCAATATGAGATAATAGATATTACCAGAAAAAGAGGTTACCTAAAGCTTGAAAATTATAAATACCAAATGTTAATTTGAATATTGATGGAAAATTAAAACATGGGAAGAAAGCAATAACAGGACATTGATTGTATATAAGGATTCAATATAAACACAATTAAGATATGTATAAGCTAAAAATTATTGATAAATGTAACAAAGATGTTTTTACAGTTGATAACAATAAGAATTGTATTAGCCTAATATGAGATAGTAGATATTAAGGGGAAAAAGAGAGGAAATATCTGATGTTGTAACATGAGATTTATACTAAAGATTTATGTATGTTATTGAACTATTGATTAACCCAGTCACCACGTTGCTTTTTAAATACTTAATTGTAAAATTAGAAAACTAATAAAATATTATTAAAAAAGTGACAGCAGAGTTCAAAAATCATCTCTTCAGAGTAAGAGAAATAAATTCAAAATGACAAACAAGTATAAAGTGATACATGTTAATATGCAAAATCCAAACTTCACCTATATACAGAAGGGTTATGATCTGGCAGTGGGTGACCAGTAAAAGAAAGACTTTTGGACAAGTTGATGACAACCCTATGTAAAACTGCTGTAAAGAAAGAAAATTCCATGCTTGGAATCATTAAAAAGGAACTGAAAATGTAACTGCTGATATGTTAATGTCCTCACACAGATTCATGCTGATTTGGACTTGGAGTATAGTTTTGGTTATTCTAAGGTATAATAGACAGGTAGCAAAGGCAGCTACAATTATTAGAAGGCTCAACCAGCTCTCTGCAGGGAAAGACTATAGCAGTTGAGCCTCTTGAACTTGGAATGGGAGAGAGTAGAGAGCCATGATAATGGTAAATAAATTAAGCATGGCATACTTAATTTTGTGAGAGATAGGTCTCCTTCCTTTTTTCACTAAGAAACAGAAAAAGCAGCAGGACAAAACTCTCTTGCTTAATCCTCTTCTTTTTTTCTCTAATTCCTAAGGTAAAATGAAAATGTAAGCATGACTGGAGCTTTGAACACCTAAACTCTTTCAAGAGGTAAGTGGAAAAAGGAAGGAAACATTATCTTCCAATAATGGAGGGAAAGAAAGAAGATTCCTAGGGCATTTCTGTGCAAGGGCATCATGCTGCTTTTCTAGCCCTTGGATTCTGTGTTATTCTGTCTAGCACTGATTGCCCCATTTGGGTTAATTTCTATTAGAGGACATTGCTTCACTTAAGCATCACTTAAATGCTAAAATCTTCAGCCAAGCCTGGATACAACCTGATCACAAGAGATCCCAGATTTTCTTGGATAAACCAGTTATCCTTGAAATCCTGCACTAGAAGACTTGCTTGATAAACCTTAGCATTTCATGAAGGTATCTGAAAGTCACAATTATTTTTGCCTTGATGGCTAATACTACTCCTTATTATTCTTTACTATGTCTTCATTCTTTACTCACTGTAAGATTCAAAATGGCTTTATTGTATTTCTGAGGTGTCATGGGCAATCTCTGCTTTAGCTTGGGCTTGGTATAAACAATAAACTTATTTTAGACTGTAGGAAATCCTAGAATGCTATGAGTTAAGTTGCCTATTAAACAGAAATCAAGTATATCCTCATTAGAACAGAATAGCTCAAGAGTCTGGCTCCAAAACTTACTTTTCCTGTACTCAGTAGTTTACTTATGATCTAATTGAAAGCAGTGTCAAACTTGAATATCATTTCGGGGAGTCTCCTTTGGAAGAAATTGTGGCTATATAAATTTGATTAATAAATAAAAAATAAAATATTTTTGTGTAAGAATGATGAGGCCTCCACTTTGCCATTGGAGGAGACTTGTGCATCACACTTGTCCCAGATCCTGAACTTCAAGTCTCGTAGAAAAAAAAAAACATTAGTCAGAGGCTTTGCAGTTTTCTTTCCCTCTCCCAGACAAAAGGAGTGGGCTAATGTTGTCAATACATTGCCCTTGTTTTCAGCATAGGGTAAACCTGTATGCAAAATGCCAAAGTATTGCTCTTCTTCCCAAATCTTTGGGAATGGAGATGAGGAGATTTCTGTTGTTGCTGCATCTGTAGCATTCAGGCCAAGGCCACGATTATCACTCAGAATTTCTGAGTCATCGGAATAGCAAGTTACTATGAATTGAATTTTAAACTGTTAACTCTGTTAACAATTGTGAAATCTCTTAACAAAGAGCCCTAAACACTCTATTTAATTTAATTCCTACAACGGTTCTTTAATATCCATGTATATGAGAAAATTAACCAAGTTAAAGTGTAAAAAAATAAAGATAGTAGCAATGTGGCTACAGGTGCAAACAGAGGAAATTCCAAGGAAAGGAAAAGAAATGATGAAGAGGGTGGGAAAGTCAGCCCCCCCCCCAGAGAAAGAAATATTTTGGGGAATATTAAAAAGATAGAATATATTTCTCCAAAGGAATAATGGAGAAGATATTTAAAAAGGCAGAAACGTCTCCCTCCCCCCAGCCAGAAACTCAGCAGGAACCAGGTCTGTAGAACTGCAGATGTGACAATCCTTTCAGAAAGGCTGGAGTCAGGAAGCCTGGAACTGATAAGATTAGAAAGACAAAAGATCCCTAGAATCAACAACCCCTCACCCAAAAAAATCCAACACAGGACAGCCACAGCCACAGGGAAGCAGGATATGATCTTTAGGACATAATAGAATTAACCCACCAATACCAAAAAGGGACACTGAAGCTCAGGTCAAAGTTCATGCACAGGAACAGGAAACAAACACAAAAGCCCAAGAAGGTATAAAAACCCACCACTCCCAGCTACATGTGGTCAGCTGCTTCAGAGCCTCATGTCTTGTGGTTCTGCTCTTCAATAAACTACAATCTTCTTTCTGAAGCAGTCTCCATTTTGTTTATTCCTAGCTTGGACTGGACCCTGATGAAGATTTTTCTTTCAACAAGGATATCAGAAGGGGAAAAAAATCTCAGAGAAAGGAACAGGAGTTGTGTCTGGGACATATTTATATTTGTCATCTTGCTCAGATTCCCTTAATTTCATAATTGGACTTGACATCTCTCCACAAGATAAATGAGGCAACATTGAAAGGACGAAGAGCTTTGTCTGCAAATGATTCCCTGTGTAGATTCTCTCAACATAGAGAATCTCTAACATTCAAAGCACTCATAATTGATGGCTAACAAAAAACTTTATTTACTTTGGAGAAAGCTCTTTCTTGATTATTCAAAATAATTGTTAGGCAGGGAGCAAACATTCAAATTGTGTGATTTATGCTTAGCCACTTAACAGTTTTCCTGTTGCAACTCCACTGAAGACAGAATGTGGTTTTTTCCATTTATTTATTTACTTGACTCCATCCTGGCCCAATGGACTAGGTTCTACTAAAGGAAGGGTATCTCTATATTTTAGTATTGCAATTGTGTAATACTTTGATCAGACATAAAATCTTTCAGGCTTGAAGCGTATAACTGTAAAATAGAAAACATTATTTCATCACAAACAACGCTTGCTATGTAAAAGTGAGATCTCTGTAGGAATTTGTTGATGTGAAGTTGAGCTGACACCATTAGCACTGAGATTAACATGGTGAAATCTCACTGCATTTAATTTAGCTCATGCAGTTCCTTTTTATCCATATATAGACACAGTAGAAAAAGCCATTTTCTCTTGTCTCACTTATAGCATAAATGTGAAGTCTTGCTGCATTTTTCTTCAAAGATTAATTTTCAAAATATCAAAACAGCTTACCCAGCATGCTCTTTTTCCTACCAGGTTTGTTGGAGATGAAGCTAGCAGCAATTTACAAGAGCCATTCTATTTTTGTATCTAATAAGAGAGAGAAGCAGACAATCTTCTGGTACACAGATTCACTTTTTAAAGGGCTTTTCATCCATTTGATTCATTCACAGTCTTGTGCAAGCTTTTTTATTATTATTATTAAATAGCCCAATGCATTATTTTCTACAGATTACTCCCTGCCTCCCCAATCAGAATATGGTGAATATATGGAATTATATGGAAAGCATGGACTTTAAGTTTGAAAAAGCAAGTGTGTTGTTTTGATTCTTTTCTATAGTAGTAGCCTAAGTAAAATATTGGAAAACACGAACAACATAAAATATATCCAGTTTGTCAAATACGAACATTTTGTTATGTCAGCAAACAAATGTGATACTTTGAGGAGTTTTGATATAATATATATTTCTAATTAATTTTCCTTCATAGTGCTTCAATTGTCATGGATTTTAGCTAAGCAATGACAAGTGTAACATTTGTGAGCAACTGTGATTAATCTCTGTTTCCATATTAGAAGTGTTTTGAACATTTATTATGTTTCTTGAAAAAACTAATTTATGCTAATGTTGAAGACAAGAACAAGATTTAGGACTGAACCCTTTTCTCTTTTGAGGATCATGTGACTAATGTAAATGTCTAATTCAATACTGTACATGCAGTAGTACACATTATCTACTCCTTTCTGATTAACAAAAACAAGAGATTAGTTCAGGCATGTCAAACTCACGACGTCATGTGACATCACACAACGTATCGGGCCGGTTTTGCCATTGCCAGCAATGGGGTGGGCATGGCTTCCATGTGACATGTCCGGCCCGCGGGCCAGCAGTTTGACATCCCTGGATTAGTTCTTAGATATCAAGATTTGCAAGAATTTGCAAGCAGAGAATGCACTTTGTACTTGTTCCTAAGTGGAAAGTCTTTATCCATACTTTTGCATGGTTTGGTCATATGAAGCAAGAATGAAACACAAAATTAGCAAAAATTAAATTTTGCCTTCTATATGCCTCTTCAGAAGGGGCAAACCAAGTGAGATATTAAATACAGTCAATGATGTTTTAAACACAAAATTGCATACACTACCAAACATCACAAGAATGGTGTTAAAAATAAGTTGACTCCCATAGAGTCAACAATCTATGAAGCAATGAAGCATTTTAAATCCAGAAATCCAGCAAAGCTTTGGAAATTGGTGTGAGATACATACTTTGATTAAGAGGAAAACTATTTCTAAGTTATTCTTTCCTTTGCATTATTGCTACTGTTTATATCTTTTGCCATTTTAAATCAGCAAGGTTTAAACAGAAAATATTTCACATAAATATATAAACAATTCTTTTTTTAACTCTTCCTAAACCTATTTCAGCTCAATAATAGAAGATCTGAATAACCAAATGATAAAACTTTAATTTGAAATGAACAAGTGAAAATATATGCTATGAGCATCCCCTAGAAAGAAAAACAATTACGGTAAAGCCAAAGTTTACTTTGCAGAAACTAATGTCATCTTGATTTGAATTTGCTCTGTGAGTAAACAGAGATGATTTAAATTTCCTTAATACAGTGGTACCTTGGTACTCCACTGCTTTGAAACTCATCAGATTTGGTACTTAGTGCATTTTGACAGGAACATTTTGTACTCATTCTTTGTTTGGTACTCAATGCATAAGCTAGAACTTGTCAGTGTCAGTTGCCTTGTGACTCACTTCATTATTCCTTATGGGAAAAAATGGTTTGGTATTCATCATTTTTGGTACTCATCATGCCTCCCGGAACCAATTAACAATGAATACCTAGGTACCAATGTATATGTAAGCTTTTCTTTTCATACGTTTGAATTTTATGACCCATTGAAAATGCCTTAAAAGGCAAGTTGGTGAATATCAAATATCACAGGTATGTACCCAAGTTCAGCTTTACACTGTAAACCAGGGGTCCCCAATCTTTGGTCCATGGATTGGCACCAGGCCGCAGCATGCCAGAAACTGGGCCACGCAAACAAGCAAAGACCCATCTGTGGGATGCTGGCGATACATAAAACCCCCTCCGGTCCACAGAAAAACCTCTCTCCACGGAACTGATCCCTGGTGCCCAAAAGGTTGGGGACCTCTGCTGTAAACCATTCCTTCCTTTTGGAAAAGGAATGGATGATATAATGCAATTTTCAGGTTGACATGTTGGGCTTGTGAGTTTTGTCACGGATGTTAATCCCTCATTGTTGTTTAAGGTTAGATGTTGCTTCAATGGTGACTAGTGTGATGACTGGGAAAATATTTTGTAACGTTATCTGGGATTTGTTTAATTATATGAAAGCTAAAGAAGTGGACAGGGTTCTGCAGAATGTATTGCCAGTTGATTCTAATGGGGCAAGGCAATCGTGAGGATACCTAGGTACCAAGCCATATTTTTTTCTGAATGTGTAATGTTGACAGTGCACAGACAGTGATACAGACATGCTCTCTTTTTTCATCTTAGTTACACAGATATTATCTCTCAGCCTATTATTGTTATCATAAGGAATTTAGAACAACTACAAGTGCACTGTTCCAAGCTCTTTAAAATTGTCCTACATAGTTTGTTATAAAATTATAATAAATCTAGCAAATAAAAATAAGAGGTGTGAATTAGATATAATCAGGATTTTAGAGTAAAAAATAATTATGAAAGATATGCTATAAATCTTAAGAACTGCCCTCAACTCTTCTTAGTCTAATGGAAAAGAGCTACCAAAATTGTTAACCTCAATTTCACAGTTGACTGACAAGAGTCTTAGATAGACAAAATGAAACATAGGAGACTGAAGAGTCTGATGGAAACTTGAAATTGATAGAAATGTGGTCAGAGAATATTTATTTACTTTCAGCTGAAAACTCCAAAACCAGATGAATTGCATTCTATGGCTCTGAAGGAAATAACTGATAGTCTGATTGAACTTTCACATACTATGTTTGAGAAATCCTGGAGAAAGTACTAGATAACAGGAAGAGACCAAATATTATTTCTGTCTCAATAAAGAGAGAAAAGGGAAATGTCTCTCAGAAATCAGCATGGATTTGTGAAGAGCAATACCTACTAAGCTAATCGTATTTCCTTTCAAAATACCAAGGAGGGATGCTATAAACATAATTATCAAGATTTCAAGAAAAAAATAATAAAGTGTCATTTGATTAATAAGCTAGGGTGAACTGGAAATAGTTGTATAATGCAACTGTAATAATGCCTAATAAATAAATCTCTTATGCAGGAGCTAGATTCAGACTTAAATGATAAAATTCACAATCCCTTGTTTGGAACAAAAGATTATTATTTAAGGCTGATATGCCCTTGCCTACTTCCTAGGGTGAGACAGAGTGACTGGCCCAAGGTCACCCAACTGGTGAAACTAGAACTCGCAATCTCCTGTTTCCCAGCTTGGTGCCTTAACCACAACACCAAACTGGTTCTCTGACCTGATTGGAAGCACCAAATTGAGCAAGAATTTTCTGTCAATAATCTAAATGTCTTCTTCCAACTCTATGAATTTTTCGAACTTTGGAACAAAATATTATCATTTAAGGCTGAATCTAGTTCCTGCCTAACAAATTTACTTGTTAGGAAGTAGGCATTGTATTACATAACTATTTCTGCTTACCCCCAATTAATCGATATGCTGTGTAAGCTATAAGCCCAAAATGCAGGCATTCTAAATTGTGATCTAAGTCTGCATGGAAATGTTATTTTTGATATATGCACATGCATAGTATTATAACTTTTGTGTTGATGTTTGAGATATCCTTTTATATTATCATATTAATCTTATGCAAATCTTTCTATTAAATCTTCAAAGGACTAGTTTTATACAGCTATGTCTATATTAAGAACACAGATAGAAATTCTTCCTCCCCCCCCCAAACCCATCATATCATAGAAAATGTGGTTATCTTATGAAGTTGAATGACAAATTTTAGACAAATTTAAATAATGGACAAATCTTGTCAGATGAGTTCAAAGGTCTATTTAGTTGGTATTTGCTTTCAGCAGTATCCAAACTGTTATCAGTGGGAAAGCAAACACAGAATACTGTATAAGGATTAATAGCAGTTCTGCTAAATCAGGTTAAGGCTCATTTTAGTTTGTTATTGTGCCCCTCATTGTGGCAAACCAGTCACTAACTCTTTCACTGCTGTTCTACAACTGGTGTTTGGGGTTATTCTCTCCCAATCCAGAGGTAACCTTTAGTCTTTAAGCTCTTCATTGACCTGTCTTCTGTGAATTTATCAAACCCTCTTTTAAAGCCATCCAAATTAATGGCCCACACCACATCTTGTGATAATGAACTCCATAGACAGATATGAACTGATTATTTATTTGTTTTTTTTTCTTTCAAATTATAGGGTTGACTAACAGAAACAATTTTAACCAGATTTTAATGGTTAAAATATTAAATTAAAAAAAAAACAACAACCAAGATACAGTACAATAATAACAATATGCTGTGGAATATACATTTAATGACTATTCAAATGGTTCATAAATTGCCTCAACCCAGAACTGCTGCAAAAGCCAAGTTTTTAATACTTTCTGGAAGGTCAGCAGTGTTGGGGCTAAAAGGACAATAAGCACTTCATTAATAATTAATAAACATCCATTAATTACATTAATTCTGCATTGCATGGAAAAGTATTTTCTTTTGTCTGTTCTAAATCTTTCAGATCTCCTGATCTTAACATTTTAAGAAAGTAAGGGAAAAAAAACACCTCTTTTTCACATTTTCTAGCAACTAGCACGTAAACATGTACTCTCTTTAATTCTAGAGATAATAATAACTGTTATAGCTCATAGCTATTGATAACTTTATCTCTGTGAATGTGTCTCTTTTTTTTTAAAGTTCTCAAAGGTTGTGATTGTCATTATATCATGTGGTATTGCAATTTGCACAAGAGAAAAAAATGTTTCAAGTGCTTACACCACAAATTCTCCAATGTCCACCAGGACCACATAATAAATTCTTCTTCTTTGTGTGTGCTGAAGCTATTGCATCACTGTTTCTTACCTGAGACCATGAATTTCTTAAGCCTTCTTCCATTGCATCGGTTTATTCATTACCTGAGTTTATTGGCTGAACCTCCCCATTTGGTCCATCTACTTTCCAAGATATAATGCGCCAGAAAGAATGTTGCCTTCATGCTCATGCCCCAACTTTAGATAGGAAGAAGAGTGACATACACATTAATAAACAAACAAATAAATGAATTTTGCTTTTGTGCAAATAAATAAGACACAGAATAATAGTTACTAAGCTTAGTGAACTTTGGTCATGTTATGTCCTGGGCCTGCTGAGTGACTCAGCAGGTGCAGGAAGCTGCAGAGAGCCCTGGGCAGACCACATGGTTGCCCGGGACCAGACAGGCTGTCTCCAGCCTATTGCGCACACGCAAGGCGGGAGAATCCATTGCATTGATTGGCTGACACTGTCCCTGCAAAGGAGTATATAAAGGAATCCACGCCATTTTGTTTTGGTTCTGTTGGAGATTCAATAAAGAAGTATCTGTTGTTTGTCTGCCTCGTCTCAATGCCTTACCAACGCACAGAACAGAACAGGTCACATGCAGCACATTAAGATATCTGATCTATATATACTTTGCAAGCCAACATATGATCTCCATATCTCATCAACTAAGAGGTATATGAGATATTCAGAAAAGGAAACATTGACTGGATTATCTTGGCTATAAATATATTAAGATGGGGGGGGATCATTATCCTGGCATTTATTACACTTAGAAACCACAGTATGAAAGTATACACAGCATCTTGCTAATAGTAATATCAGAATAACCCAATCAGAATATTTTCTTTCTGATTAATAGATGAGTATCACTATCAAAAACTAACAGTGCTCAGCAATTGCTTGGTGATTAAAAGCCATTTCTTTCTGCTTACTTAGTATTCTACTTACTGTTTGCAAATGGGATTCTTAGGATATAAATGAGGAAAGTAAAATGTGGTACATTTTCAACTATTGACCTTCATTGTACAAAGAAATGCAAATTTAAATAGAGAGAAATTTCCCTTTGTAGATCGTCAAATTAATTAATCATAACTAGTTTCCAGTGCTATAGAAATAGAACAAAACTGTCTTGGATAAATGATTTTAAACTTTGTTCTTATAATTATGTGTTATGACGATATAAAGTGTAGAAAAATGAAGATGAACTGTAAATTAATGCCTCAAAATAAAATCTTAAAACTTTCATATAGAGCTTGTGGAAATATGCTTTTTCTAGGCACTTGAGATCATGTTATTGCATCAAATTAAGAGAATTGTTTGCTTTTGAGATATTTTGTACTTACCACCTTGAAACAAACTGACCAGAAGAGTAGAAATATTTTTTTTGTGTGTTGGAGGAAGTAATCTTGATAATTTATTTTTAGTTATATTATAAAATCTCTTTTATGTCAATATGTGAGAATAAAATCATGATATTGAGATTTTAATAGCTAGGCATATTCAGAGACAATATAAATAATACAGAATTGAGAAATTCCTGATGAGATACTGACTTTCTGCTTGGGATGTTTTCTGATTAAGATCATTGTTGTTGTTGTTAGTTGCAAAGTCGTGTCCGACCCATCATGACCCCATGGACAACGTTCCTCCAGGCCTTCCTGTCTTCTATCATCTTCTGGAGTCCATTTAAGCTCACGCCTATTGCTTCAGTGACTCCATCCAGCCACCTCATTCTCTGTTGTCTCCTTCTTCTATTACCCTCAATCTTTTCCAGCATTAGGCTCTTCTCCAGTGAGTTCTTCCTTCTCATTAGGTGGCCAAAGTACTTGAGTTTCAGCTTCAGGATCTGGCCTTCTTAAGAGCAGTCAGGGTTGATCTCCTCTAGGACTGACTGGTTTGATTGCCTTGTAGTCCAGGGGACTCGCAGGAGTCTTCTCCAGCACCATAGTTCAAAGGCCTCAATTCTTTGGCGCTCAGCCTTTCTTATGGTCCAACTTTCACAGCCATACATTGCAACTAGGAAAACCATGGCCTTGACTATATGCACTTTTGTTCGCAGGGTGATGTCTCTGCTGTTTAGTATGCTGTCTAGATTTGCCATAGCTTTCTTGCCCAGGAGCAAGCGTCTTTTAATTTCTTGGCTACAGTCCCCATCTGTGGTGATCTTGGAGCCCAGGAAGATAAAATCTGTCACTACCTCCAGGGCTGGATGCCATGATCTTGGTTTTCTTAATGTTGAGTTTGAAGCCAACTTTTGTACTCTCTTTCTTCACTAGCATCAAGAGGCTCTTTAGTTCCTTTTCACTTTCTGCCATTAGAGTGGTATCATCTTCACAGTTACTAGTTTTGAGCCAGGGTTTGCCTAATCTTGTATCTTTGGTTTTTCCTGCCTAAGTGTAAAACCTTGCTTTTCTCCATATTAAATTTCATGTTGTTGGATAGGGCCCATTGTTTGAGTCTGTCAAGATATTTTTGGACCCTGACTTGTCTTCTGAGGTGTTGGCTATTCCTGCCAGCTTAGTGTCATCTGCAAATTTGATAAGTTTTCTTTTTATTCCCTCATCTAAGTCATTTATAAAGATATTGAAGAGACTAAACCTTGTGGTACCCCACTGCTTACTTCTCTCCATGTAGATGTAGTATCATTAAGGATGACTCATTCATTACAGTTTGTCAGCCAGTTACAACTCCATCTGGTGGTGATGCTGTCTATCCCACATTTTTCTAGTTTTACAAGAAGTAGGTGATGGTCTACTTTGTTGAATGCCTTGCTAAGGTCTAACTATGCTATGTCTACAGCATTTTGCTTGTCTACTAATTTAGTCACTCTTTCAAAGAACGAAATAAGATTGGTTTGGCATGATCTGTTTTTAACAAACCCATGCTGGCTACTAATTACCGTATATTCCGGCGTATACGATGACTTTCTAAACACTTAAAATCTTCGCAAAAGTCGGGGGTCGTCTTATACGCCGGAAAAATATTTACTCAGCAAGTTTTCTCTCCCCCCCTCTCTCTCTCACTCAAAAAGAGTCCTAGGGTTATTATTAAAACCAGCCAATCAACTAAAGATATCTCTTTCCAGCCTCTATACTGGGAGTACGATAGGCATTATCTGGCTGTCGTGACAGTAAGATTTCCTGGAGGTTTAATCCCCATTCTATAATGCTACATTGCAAACTATCTCCTCTCTTCTTCCCTCCCTTTTGCATCCCAATTCCTTGCCCACCCCTCCAGAACTGCGGATTGGTAGTGGCCATCCCCTGATTAATTCATTCAAAGGAAGTAGAAAGGGATGGCCCATGTAATGGGGAAGGGGAGAAAAGAGTTGTAGGGTGGTTTTTTTATATAATGAAAACAAACCTAAGCATCTGCGTCCATTCGAGGCACTTCTCAGTGCTTCTTCATGCAGGCTTTTCAGTGTTTACCTCTCACTGCCGGTGAGAGTAGCTTGGGGGAGGCGGAGCTCATGGGTCTGGAAGGGGAGGGGTGTCAGCTAAATTCCTCTCGGATTTACGAAGCAGGAATGGAGTGGGGACAGAAAACAGCTACACAATCCTTTCGCCTGTCGACTTCTACCGAGCTTATGCAAGCAGTTTCCCCCCTCCCCGCCTAAATAAACTTGCATGGTGCATTTGTGGTGTTATTTATGACAGATCCTGGCTGGTCAATCTGGCTCCCATCTATAAGTACTGTAATGCACTGAGTTTTAATAACAAATTAAAAGGAAAGCATTTACTCCCCCCAATTACCTGAAAAGGGGGCAACTTATCACATTTGTGGAAATGCAAGTTTTCGAAGGGCGAATGCCTTTCTTACTTGGTTTATTAACTGCTTCCTTTCCTTCTTCCCTAAACATTCTGGCTGTCTCCAATTTTATTCTTGGTAGTGTTGCTTTAAAAAACTGCTGAGAAGTCCTTTTGCAGGCAGGGCAATTTTCATCAAGGTGTGTGTGCGATTGACAAGGCAGAGCCTTTGACAAACAGGCAGGCTTTCTGCTCACTCAGCTTGGAGAGGCTGTGGAGGATTCGCAGGGTGGAAGACTGAGAGGAGGAGATCCCTGTGTGCAGCCTGCTTGCTCCAAGCCAAAGCTTGCTACTGGGGGGGGGCAATGGAAGGGACCCGGGGAGTCACACGCATGCCTACACGTGCACGCACACACCCTGAGCTACTCATTTGGACTTACAGGTGGCCAATGAGAACTCAGAAACTGTGCTCCCTTTCCCCCTCCCTCATGGAAGAGGGGTAGTCTTATACGGAGAGTATAACCCAAACTCTATATTTTAACTGGAAAAGTTGGGGGTCGTCTTATACGCCCAATCGTCTTATACGCCGGAATATACAGTATAACTATTTGTTTCTAGATGTTTACAGATCTGTTTTTAAATTATTTTTTCCAGTATCTTCCCAGGTATTGATGTTAGACTGATTTGACTGTAGTTTCCTAGGTCTGTTGTTTTTCCTTTTTTGAAAATGGGAACCACATCAGCTCTTTTCCAATCCTCTGGTAGTTCCCTGGTGCTCCAGGTTTTTTTTTTTTATTGAAAAGTTTTATAAAAATTACAGTATACATCCCAAAACCCACCCACCCTAATCCCCCTCCCTCCCCCATTTCCCAGAGCTGAGTACAGGGTTACAAATATAATAATCAAACTCTAACTAACATTAACCAACTGTATAAATACCCAAGTCCATAATGCGCTTTAACCCCCCTTTAACATAAGTATAAACAAATTAAAAATAAACATAATAATATAAACAAGTCAATATTATTAAACAATACAATATCCAAATTGTTAAACAATACTAATACTAAAAATAATAATAAAACTAATAAAAATTCAACTATAATAAACTATTAATAATAATAATACTCTAAAATTTACTCATAAACTAAATGGAACTTTTTAGTCCCATATTTATTCTGAATATAATATTTCCATCTTCTCCAGACTGAAATGTATCTTTCTTGTGAATGATCCTTCAAGTAAGCAGAAATTTTTGCCATTTCTGTTAAATTTGACACTTTAAGTACCCATTCTTCTATAGTAGGCAAGCAATCCTTCTTCCAATATTGCCCTACCAATAACCTTGCAGCTATTATCAAGTTCAACATCAAATTAATTTCTTTAGCATCACAATCTACAATAACACCCAATAAAAATAATTGTGGGGTAAATTTTATCTTTCTTCTAAAAATCTTTTGAATGCTCCACCAAATCTTAATCCAAAAAGCTTTTATATTTCTACAAGTCCACCAAATATGAAAATAAGTAGCATCCAAACTATCACATCTCCAACGTTTGGGCTGTAAATTGGGATACATACAAGACAACTATTTAGGATCCAGATGCCATCTATAAAACATTTTGTAAAAATTTTCTCTTAAATTTTGGGCCTGGGTAAATTTTACATTTCTAACCCAAATTATCTTCTATATATCCAATGGAATTGGTTCTTGAATATTTTGGGCCCATTTTACCATACAATCTTTAACTAAATCCATTTCCGAATCCAATTCTATTAAAACATTATAAATTCTCTTTATATGCGCTCGATTTTGATCTTTAATCTGTTTTACCAAATTCTTATCCATTAAGGTAATACCAACCTTTTGATCTAACTTCCACCTAACCAACAGTTGATTATACTGAAACCAAGATTGTACAATATTTTCTTGCTTTAACTCAACTAACGGTTTTAATTGCCAATCATTCCCTACCAATCTAAATAATTCCTTATAAGAAATCCTATCCAAATTCACACCCATAGATACCCCCTCTATCACACGTCCAGGAATGCCCCAGATTGGTATTTTATAATTTAACCTATAATAATACTTCTTCCAGACACGCAATAAAGCACTTCTTAAAATATGAGATTTAAAAGCCTGATCAACTTTTTTGTTATAAATTAAGTATGCATGCCACCCATATAATAAATCCCATCACTCAAGGTGAAGTATACTTTTATTTGTTAAATTAAGCCAATCACTAATCAGTGTTGAAACTACCGCATCATAGTATAATTTCAAATTAGGTGCCTTAAGTCCTCCTCTTTCCCGTGCATTTTGTAAGATCTTAAATTTAATTCTTGGTTTTTTCCCTGCCCAAATAAATTTATTAATACCCTTCTGCCATTCATCCAAATTGGCATCTTTTTTTAAAATAGGTATCATTTGAAACAAAAAAAGAAACTTTGGTAGA